TAAGGAATGGGTAACATATACGTCCAAGGAAACGTCCAGAACTTCTGAGTATCGGAAGAATCGCTTGATTAATTCTAACCCTTGTCTATTTAGAAACTCTATCCTGTCAATAGGTATGGGAGCTGTGATGGTGAGACCTGCGAAAGGGAGGGCCCCTGTGAAAAAATGCTGGACACTCAGTAAGTACTCCTATACTGGCTACGCCTAGCATGGGGAGTTTCGAAAAATTTTCTTTCCAGCTATCATTTTTATCTCTCATTTGAGAACTCGATTTGTAAAGACTATATCACGGAGAAACTGTGGAAACATGGCTACATGCACTATGTTGTGCCAATCGTTCTGAAGGTGAGAGCACTGTCCTTCCTTATGCAAACATGAGTACATAAGACAAAAAAACCACAAATTCCATTCACAAGCACGTCATAACGGACAGCTTGAAAAGATGCACGAAATTCGGTTTGCCGTCTGCAGTTGACATAGGACCCTAGTTTGAATTACACCGATCTCCAACAAAATTCTATTTTTCTGAAAGAAGTACATATCTTGTAAGCAAGTGGCACGATGACTCGACAAGGTCTACAGGGCCGATATGACAAGAAAGGTACTGTTCTTCATAGCAGGCCTGCGTAGTACATTTTCAACCCAGAACACTCACGCTATAGCGCCTAACCTAGCAGCATGCAGAATAGACGCCCACCGCAACCGCCCGCCCACAAATGGCCACAAGTCACATCGACGCTGGTACTCATACCATCGTTTATGAAGTACAATTGATATGAAGCATTGCTGCATGCATTGACCGGATACGTCCAGTTGTATCTATCAAAGCGATTGCTGGTACAATCCAATGGGTAACTCGTCCAGTGCCGTGGGATCCCAGGTTTTTGAGTGCTTAATTTCGCTTATTAGTCAGTAGTGCTGTTTTCTCAATATAGCACCACTGCTAGTATTTCAAAACGAGCATTGTTTATCGTTCCTTATTCCCTTACCACGTTCGTGGCGACGCCGTTTCGAAAAAAACCCACGTTGGTCGAGTGGCGCGTTCGCGTCTAGCGAAACATCCCGTTGGCGTTTCCGACAGAATCTCCCCTGTATCGATTTTGCGACGTTTTTTTACATTTAGACAAGTTTTCGTGCAATTTTTATTGGTCAAAAAGCTTTTTTACCCTTTTCCAAGAAGTTGGTGAAAGTCCAGCCGTGGCCATTGGGCGGAGATGAGGCGTCGACGCGAGCGGGCGGCGCGGAATGTGCTTTCAAAGCGATCTGAGGCTTCAATGTTGATCGGACTCCACCTTCCCACCCTTCCCCCTCTCCTAATGTTGATTATTCTGGAATTTAGGCACATACTACGCCGAGTAGATCAGAGGAAGAACAGAAGAAAGACAAAAGAAGCCATAAAAAAATCTGCCGTTTCAGAGATCTATAGTTGAGCCATATGTACCTCCGCACTCATTCATTGCTGCAGACGACTTTGATACCGTGGCAGAACTTGCAAGCTACTTGCATTACCTCACGGCCAACAAAACAGCTTATCTGTAAGTCATTTCTGCTGGCTTGACTGCATGCGAGTTTCAAAATTTTGACATGTGGAGCCCGTTTGGGGCAAAAGTATAGCTGCAATACAAAATTGTTCCAGTAGGGGAGAACTTCAAACTTGCTTCACTCTTCTGTCATGCTCCAGGCAAATAAATATATTTACTACAAAGCAACAAACAAACAACATCAAACACTCTTCTCGGTGAAAACGAAATCCGGGACAACAATCCTCTGTTAGAGGAGGATGGATGAATGGCTTTTGTGACTCACACTCGCTCAAAATCGTCCTCGGCTGACTCAGAGGCCGTCACCTACTCCAAAAATTGCTACTGGTCACTGTTTCACACAGTGAGCTCTCAGCTCGACACCCATGGCCCCATTTGTTCGAGAGCGCATAAGTGATGCCATAGCAGGACGGCGTTCCGAGCCCCTGAGCAGGCGCTGCGTAGCGTAGGGAGCTACCCTCATAAGGCCCTATCAAGCTGCAACATACCGACCCGGATGCCCACCGCGCCCGCCCGCCCACAGATGGACGAATTTATTGCTTTATTTGCGAAGTAAAGTATAAAGTGAAGGGATTGTTATGAAGCGGACGTGGTGTTGCATGGATATATGAGAGCATACGTGCAGCCGTATCAACCCTAGCGGTTATTGGCACGATGTCTTTGAAGAACTCATCCAATTCCGAAATTACTACTTTTCGTTTGTTAGGCAAAACCCTTGAGTACATTTGATTTTCCTCTCTATTTCACCATACAACTTGAACGTTGGAATTGGCAAAGGATCTGTGCTGAACATGTTAGGTTTCACGAGATTCGATCTGCTTATAGGTATCTGAAAGCGACGACGTTGTCGAAACGTCAGGTGTAATAGAGAATAGAAACGTGCTCTGCATGGGGAAGAAATGTTACTCACTGTAGTTGCGATTTCTGAGAAATGTCCGGGATCACATTCCAAATCAGAGGCTTCAAAAAATTTCGAAAGGATTGTCGAAGTTGTGACCATCTTTCTCGTGACAGTGAAGGAAATAGTATAAAGGTTGATTTGAATGTGATGTTAATTAGTTTATACTTGTCACGAATGATTACAACACTATTGTCCAGAACCGTGATACAGTTTTCAAATGAAAGAAAGTGGTCTAATTTCCGTTGCGCACCTGCCCTTAGACAGGTACAGAGACAAATGGCATTCATATTATTTTAAGGGAATATTTTAAATGGAGACTGGATTACCGCGTGGTTTTCCTTGATGGTGCCCGACACGACAGCCTGGAGCGACCATGGGGTCTTTGCCAAGTAAGCGGACTTTTAAACTTGGAACTCCGATTGCGTTCCTGTTACTCACTATTGTATAGTTCATTATGTTTAGCAGTAGATTAATTATTAAGCTCTGCCGGCTCATTTGGGAGAGTCCGAGGAAGCAGTACGTCATCAAAAGTGAGTAACAATCATGAATTCTCCTTGGGAACACGAGACGCACTCCTGACAATTTCTCTTCCGCAGTAAGTTTGCAAGAGCGGTTGCAAACAATGGAACTTTGAAGAACGGATCTCGAAAGCTTCCCGTCTGCAGAAAGCAAACCTTAGTTGGCTTTATTCTATTTCTTAATCCCTCAAATTGGAATTTTCTAGTGCTCCATCTGCAATTGGCATAGCAGTGACGAATATAACATTCATCGTTTTCGTTCCACAAATTGAAACCCCATAATAGCATTCGCGTTAGGGACTATCTGTCAACAGGCATTTGGGTTCATTGCGAGTTTTTTGGTAGACGTGGTAGCGCCAAAAATGAAGTTAACACACAGAATACCGCTTTCTCATACTTTTTCTTCATTATTACTATTAAGGCTTTCTTTCTCTCTCCACTTTCTACTGAGGCAACTAGCACAATGCACACCTGTATTTGAATTCTATTAACTATGATGTGCAGTCGCGGGAAGTGCCTTTAACCTAAGCCAGCAGTTTCAGCTACATGATTGGGATAAGCAAAAGAGACACGTGGCTCACAGAGTGCACGAGTTTCCATCACAAAATATCCCGAAGGCTGATCATCTTAAAATTTTCCTGGAAAGTTCCTCCATGAGTAGGAGAAGTCTTCAGCTCATGGAGGTCTTCAGCTCGCTGACGATTAGAGCCATCCGTTATCGCCGTAGAGATCAAGAAACATCTTGAAGTAGCTGCATCACTTCCACGGTCTAGACTCTTTGAGACTCTCACTCTGGCAATCAAAGACATCAACCTGCCCAGAGAAGATAGCTATTAACCATGATTTTTTTTGCGATTCTACCGAGGGGTCGTGTTGAAATTGGAATGACCGGAGACAATAGGCATATCGATTTCTCAGTTTTGCAAGGGACCGCATTTTGGTTGGTGTTGAATTCAGATGTTTCTAAGTTGCTAGAGTTAGGCAGCTGTTGAGCTCATACCTATATTCATATCCGCGTTCCCCAATATCAATGTGTGGAGGTGCGAAACATGTTTTAGGGGTACGTTCCACCAGCCATATGACTTTTGTTGCTCCTCTTGCATTTCGATTGAATAAAAGATTGCATGCCCCCCATACAATTACTTTCATTGCAGTCTGTGTAATAGCAGCAATAGAGATAGAGCCGTCCTTGCGAAATAGTATAATTCACTAGCAGAGACCTGCGATATAGTATACTTCACCAGCAGAAACATGGGCACTTAATATTATGACAATCTCGCTGGCCCATAATCTAACGTAGAAAAAAGAGTGTAAATAAGTGTAAATAATCCTTCAGCCGGCCTTAAGCCGACGCGGGGCGTGGGGCACTCCAACAATTTGATGAGTCACTGGGTGAATGCTATTTCACAGTACGGTAACTTCAGTAGGCGAACAACGAGGCACCGTATCCCCAAAGAAGCCGTAAATAATCTGGGTGCACACCAAACACATCATCTCACGGCAATAGCGTTGAAACTTCCTGGGTCTATTGCCTCAAACATTTTTAAACGCTTTGAGAAAAAGTATAGTGTAGGTGTCGATCTGACATTGCTAGCGCCAGTCGACACCTATACTATACTTTTCGCTGAAAACGCGAGCATTCTGCTGAGAAGATTCAAAACGCTGGTCGATAGCTAAATTTACTTTTTGCCCAAAACGCTCAAACGCAGACGGGATTGTGAACGCAGCCCACCGCAAGATCAAATAGGAATCTTTAGGTTTTGAAGTCAGCACGACTGCATCGGAATGGGGAACTTTTCGCCTTCCAGAAGTTAACGAATGTTTTTCAACTATGCACAACTTTTTCTCCTCATTTCAGCACTGCTCCAGAATACCTAGAGTAGTTCATGTTTCAACGAACTTATTCCTAAAACTGTGGATAAGGCTGACTATAGATCTCGTACTCATACTGTATTTTGTTCTAAAACATATAGTTGTTTTAGAACAAAATACAGTATGAGTTACGAGCTCTATAGTCAGCCTCATCAACAGTTCAGATCTTCTCATCATTACTCGCATCGGACGAAACAAAGCCAGCAGGCGGTGGTCACCTCACGACAAGGAGGCTGTCATCAAAACCACATATAAGGATGTGGGTTATTGAAACCACTACTCGACATGAAAAGGAGCGGGGCATTAATCACGGATTGAATGCGTGACCTGTGAAGTAGAAAACATGCAAGACTATTTTGTTCTACCAATTTAATCAATTTTCGGGAAAGTCTCGTGACAAAGACTCCACTGCACTGTCATGAGAAGATGTGATCCCAAGTGGGGACTATTTTTGATGAGTGCTAGTGCAACCCGATTATACAATAAGAAGAAAAATGGGCACTACAGAACTATTGCTACCCCATACTGCCGAAATCAAGCCGTTTTTCACCGATCTTTTTCTACAAAGGCGGATTTGGCGGAAAATTGGCTTCTAGAAGTACATCGATTTCCTGAACACGAATATCACATCCACTTCGCCCGAAACTGTGTGGCGACCGCCCCACAGGCCCCGACGGTAAGATGCTCTAAACCACCTAAATTCGCCGAAGACATTGTCCTAGAGGTAGTTTGACCACCGCTGCGCCCAGTTTATTTACGGCTCCTTTAGGGGTACGGTGCCTCGTTGTTCGCCTACTGAATTTACCGTACCGTTTTTATTTCATTCGTCGATCGGTATAACCGCACTTTGGTCATACAGAGAGATCGCTTGCGTTTTATTCAATCCTTCTCCTTCTAGGCCTTTGAAACGTCACTTTGTGTGCGATTGTCAGTCTTTATATATTTGTTTGACCGTCCGCAATATGCTTCATCTGCTTTGGAAAGGGAAATTCATAGCGCAGGTCGCACCAACAGTAAGAGGTCAGTTCCAAAAAGTGATATAGTATTGTGCGGACTAGAAGCACAGCTTGGGTGATAGAGAATTATCACTCTGATAAGATCCGATAAGTGGCTTCAGGAGGCAAGAGTTGCCGAATTAATACCACGCGCGGGAGCAACAGGTGATATAGGTGATGGCTGGGGAACACTATTGGTGGGTGAAGGAGGGATAACAGCTTATTGGGATCTGTGATTTTTCGAAACATTCTGACTTGCCCAGAGGATGAGCGCCTTGCTGAGCCATGCCGCCCGCGACAAGTGGGCGATTCGGGAGTGCCAAACAATTCTAACATTAATCATTACATCAAATATTATATTGTAACAAAGTTGAAAATCAATCTTTTCAGGATATTAGGCTACGCCACTGTACGAGTTCGTGTCGATTGACGTACAACAAAATTAAATCAAGATTTGGAGTCATCTGAGCAAATTTACACATTGCCTTGAAAGTTCATTCTTCAGTGTTTTAGCAGACGCCGAACAGTTGAGGAACCCTTTCTTATCAGTGTCCTTATCGCTATAATGAGTTAGGGTAGCTGTAATGACATAGTCAATAACAGCAGCACTGGGAGCAGGGTGTTGGATTCCGCGGAGCATCGTCATCTCAAAATTCAGCCCCTTCATCGAACACTATTACCTCACACAAGCGTAAAGAAGTTTTGTCACTCTGAACTAAAATTATTTTGTTCTGACATCATCTCGAAGTATTTTTTTGAAGAAATATTACTTTGCTTTTGGTGGACTCGTCAATTTATGGCTACCTTCTTTCAACTGTACATAGTAGGTGAATGAAAATGTTCGAACTCACGTGATGAGTTAACTCCACATCAATAACGTCAGGTCAAACCATCCCATTCGTTGTTCAATAGTTGTAGTGCAAAATCCTGCCAAAGAAAATGAAAATTTCTTCGCTTAACCGCGACCCCCCTTCCTTTCATCTCTCTTGCTTACTTCTCCTGCTTCTTCCTTTCCTCTCTCCTCTTTCCCGTTCTCTACTTGCCGATTCTACTCAAACTTTACTGTACCGCACTGATGCGAAACCCTGTAGCACAAGCGGACAAAAGCATCAGACTGCTCCAACCTCAGAGCAGCCCTTTCTTGCTACGTTTCCACGAAAGAGAAGTGGAAGATCATCATATGATCCTGAAGTAGTGAATGTACATACAGCACAAGGCGCCTATGTCGTTTTCTTGTAGTCAATTCCAATGTGCTGTGTCACTACACGCGACTGCGCGTCTTAGGTAATGCGGTTCAGAAATAGAATTGCAATGTGCTACTTGAATTACTGAAGAAGAAACACGAGGACAGTAATACCCTCTTCATCGCAATTGATCGTGATCACCGGACGAGCATAAGATGGGCAAGATCATTTGTGATTTGCAAAAGGCGACGATACAGAGAGGGGAGAGACCAGAAAACGACGGGCTAGAAAGCACAATGACAACACGTTGACACGGGCGACGTAGGCCGGCATGGGCCTATTAGGCGCCCATGGGCCTAAAACCTGAGCGTCTCGCGGGCTTCGCTGGCCAATTTTTGCTGTTTAATAGGGCAGTACAGGTCCCCGGGCGGGCCGACCACTATCAGTGCACGCTATTATGTAGGCCTCAGCAGTCGTCGCGGACGGTGCTTTTCAAGTGAGGACGGGGTGTTAAATGAGAAGCATAAGGCGATTAGTCTTTGTGGATGGAACGCACAAGCTGTGATCCCTTTTGCATCACTCGACGCTCCATTTGAGCGGATGAAACCTCTCTGATAATCCAGCGCACTAGGCGCGCTTCCAAGAGCTTAACCAGTTCGCGACCAAAGGATACGCCGCAACCCAAAAGATAACGACTTCATTATGAAATGCATCCGAACTCGTCGTCAACACAGAACACAAATCGTGCAATGACGTCAGTCTCTGCGAATTACTCTCATGAGGGTTTTTAGACCTTTTGTACCGATTTCGTTATGTTTATTTCGCGCAGCACTATAAGAAATCTACTACAGTACCCGCCGTAAGTGTTCAAAAAATTACGAAAAAAACGCCGATCCGCGTTTTTTTCGTTTTTTCGTTATAGAGCTGTTCCTGTTGACTTTTTGTATGGATACCCATATATGGCTAGAATCAGCTCGCCGAGCTGTATCCGAGGGTATGCTCATATTCTACGACATTGGGTTTTGGCCGGCGCCACTTTGGCGACACCTTAGCGCCACAACTTTTCTCAACAACATCTGTATAAACTTGCTTACTGGGGCTATTCAGTGCCCTGTTCACGAAAGTGGCATTCATTTCTAGCCATGGCGCCATTTGGCGCCATTAGCGCTACTTTCCAACAGTCTGTATAAACTTGCATAATGGATTCATGGTGCCCTGATCACGAATGTAATATTCATTCCTTGCCATCGCGCCGTTCGGTGCCATTTGGTGCCAATTTGGCGCTACCCCAGTTTTTCGCCAAAATTGATAAAAACATGCATGGGGTGGTGTGGTTCGATGCCCTAATCACGAATCGCCAGCCTTAGCAGAGTGATCGTAGAGTCCATTAGCGCCAAGATTAGGACCAGACCGGTTATGACACTAAAGGAAAGTTCAGGAAATTAGCCGGCGCCTGTGGCACAAGAGCCAAGCGGATGTAATATTTGGTTCTATGGATCACACTATCACGGGGACAAGTTCGCAACCAGTCTGCTGTTGCGAACTGCTTTGGCGCCGGCGGTAGACAGGTGCCAAGCGCACAAGATATTCGTATGCACGCAGTGAGACCACTCTAGTTGATTTGGCGATCTGCGGTATTTTTTGACCGACTCTTGACCCCTGATTTCCTGGAAGTTCCCTCCATCAATTACACTGATGCAGAGTCCGATCGATATGCCTTGGTCGGCGACGTACTGTTATAATGGTCACGTGAATGTGAACTATAAAGACATGCAGTAATCACGTGAACAAGCGGCTATGGTGAGCGCAGAGCCGCCAGCGCCGCAAGCTCACGTGATTTATGTATGCTCTGCAAATGACGATCACGTGACCATTCCACAAACCAGGCTGCCAGTTTATAAAGATTTTGGTGAAAAAAGTAGTGGCGCCAGATTGGCACCAAATGGCACGAGAACGGCGCCATGGCTGGAATGAATGTTACATTCGTGATCAGGGCACCGAGAAACCCCATTATGCAAGTTTATACAGATTTTTTGGGAAAGGTCGTGTCGCCAAAGTGGCGCTAGTGGCGCCAAATCGGCACCACGGCTAGAAATGAATGTCCACTTTCGTGAACAGGGCACTGAATAGCCCCAGTAAGCAAGTTTATACAGACCTTGTTGAGAAAAGTTGTGGCGCTAAGGTGTCGCCAAGTGGCGCAAATGGCGCCGGCCAAAACCCAATGTCGTAGAATATGAGCATACCCTCGGATACAGCTCGGCGAGCTGATTCTAGCCATATATGGGTATCTATACAAAAAGTCAACAGGAACAGCTCTATAACGAAAAACGAAAAAACGCGGATTAGCGTTTTTTTCGTATGAACATGGCGGGTACTGTACTAACCAAGGAGACGGTCAACTTGTCAGCCTGGCCGTTCGCAATTAGGTGCACACTGTTGTACTCGTCTTGAGACGGTGAACTCGAAACTATTTCAAAATTTGCGGAGAGATTCTCTTAGCGGAGTCATGAAGGTTTTTCTTTACTGTTTTTCTTCTTCCTGAGCCGAAGAGCTGGCACCTGTAGCGCGACTCACAACGCTCCTCGCGCAAAATAGGGGCAATATTCGTGTTCAGGGGGTCAAATAACCCCCAGCGACGGCACCTCAGCGAAAGCTGAGGTTCTGACTCAGCTTCGAAAAAGTGGGGTTGGGTTAGTCATGGCTGACTGATAGCCATTAACGATAATACTAGTGATGACCGGTTTTCCAGCTGAAATAATTCTTCAACCAGGTTTCGCCGCCTAAAAACATTACCTGTCTCACTTATTCGTGCGTCTGCATAGTTTTCCTGATTATCGGGAGAAACATCCCGAGACCAGCCATCGAGCTCCAGTCTACGGCAATTACCCATGAAACAGCCTAATTTTCCAAGTTAGCTCGAAATATCAGATTCGCTAGATTGTCTCCAAAGGCAATTTGACCCGCTGAACATGAATATAATGCTATTTCTTTACAAGAACCCTTGTGACATGTGTTACAACAGGGACAAGCGCAAACACTCTTTCAGGCTACAATCGGTCTACACCTTTGAAAAAAACTGATCGCAGGTTACCATACAGGCTAGTGGCTGGCGAGCAGAGGTGTTAGAAGCTTTGTCCGCCATGTTCTTGAAAAAATGCAAAAAGGCGACCGAGAACTGATCCTACGACGTATCGCCTAGGAAATCCGGTCGCTACCTGTTGCTCCCTAGTACCACGCTTCTGACGGCTCACCCTGTACATATAGGTAAAGACGCTTTCCTTGCGATAGCATGCAAAACAGCACGCGAGGAGAGCACGCTTCCATGACTCCGTTCAGAGAACCGTTTTCTGGAGAAAGATTTGAGTTCACCGTCTCAAGACGTGTGCACCTCACTGGAAATGGCCCGGCTGACACCTGTTGAGCTTTCCTGGTGAGAAAAACAATTGTTGCATGAAATCTATTACCTACCGCTTCCTTTGGGAAGCGACCAAGAACACTATCTTCACACCGTCCAATGATTGTTTTCAACGCGCCTGACAGTTCCCAAAAAACTCACTTCACACACGATGTCATGCGGAGTTACAGCTGGCTAGCTCAAGGAAAGTCTTTCCCTACAGGGTCGCGCACTACAAGAAAAGCCAGTCGACAAGAATACTCCATGACAGTGAGAGTGTCGTTATTAACAACTCCTCTGTTTCCTTAGTCCTCCAGTTTTGCCTAGTCGCTGTCCTCAACGCTGATTCAGGACTTGAGAGATGAAGAAGGTTAATAGGAGTGGGAACTTTGTAAGTGATCAACATACAAACTGGAAGTTCTTAGATCATTGATATCGACCAAGCTAATAACTGCTGGATTTTAATCTTCACGGTCAAATACGACCCTCCTCCCCTGCGTTGTGGTTTCTACAACGACGGCGTGCCCTGGAATTACTGTAGGAACAGTTGCTGTTTCACCTAGAAAGACAGCCTGAAGAAAATCATAACCGTCTCAAATCTATAATGGATCGGGGAAAAGGTCACCTGAGCAGGGGAAACTCAGCTTGCTTTTGTTTTCGTTGAAGGTGGTGTCGAATTCATCGCAAGGGCTTCAGAAAAATACTTCTGTTTCCAAAGCATGTGGGGGCTTCCATCTTGAGTAGTCTCAAGAAGGTTCTCGTCAAAACTCTCCTCGATAACGGCAAAGTTAGAGCAGTCGATGAGCGGCCAACATGCTGC